CTCTATATCATATTTGCCTAGAATTTAAATAATACAGAAGTAATTAAGATGTGGCTTAGTAATGAGGGCATAGTCAAGAATTGATTTCTAAAACATCTTGAGCTAATATATATGCTTTTGTTTTATTCAAATGTTTTATTGCTTTTCACTCTAATATGCTAAAACTTAAGATTCTGCCATGGAACGTTTCCATTTAGAAAGAAGGGAAGGTGGTTTGATTCTGAAATATATCATTGATGAACTCTTTAAAATTAGCTTTTATTCACTAACTTGATGACAGCAGCAGCTTTTGGGTTTGGATTTTTGGTGTGTGTGTGTGTGTTTGGGTTTGGGTTTGGTACTAAAGTCAGGTTTCCTTGTGCTCTTATGCCCTGATTTTTTTCTTATAGGTTGTCAAGGGTCAAGGTTTTTAATTGTGGTACCTTTTATTTTTACATTCTTATGAACTAGATCGTAGTTCTTATTTTACTATTTTACACTCTGATTTAATTTAAGACTTAGAATTAAAGTTCTGCTTATTTCCACTCCATATAAAAATTGGGTGACAGGTTTATGTTGGTAGATAAGGTCTGTTTCTTGGTGCTAGGAAGGACATTTGAAGTAGAAATAGGTATAACTCTTAATTTTTGATTTTAAAAAGTTTGGGAGGAGGCTCCAGTCAAAAGGAAAGAACAAAGTGGTTGCCAAAACTGATCCTACAATTTATCAGTACAGAACCAGTCTTTCATTGGAATAGAAATTCCTAACAAGATCCAGTAAAAAAGAGTCAATGGGATTACAGGAAGAATTGAAGTTGTATAGGAGTCTTATATTATAGGGGAAACCAATGACAGTTAGGGCAAAGTCCTATGCATGTTTAGTCAAAAAAGAGTCTTAAACTATAGAAGCTGGAAATACCTTAGCATGCATAGTGTTGTATCCTATTGTCCATTTGCTGCTGGCTTTTCACAGATTCTGGTTTTCAAATGTGTTTTGCTGTTCTTTGCTTGGATCGTGTTTCACATCTTCAACAGCAACTTTTAATAATACTTAAGAACCAGTGCTTTGGAGCCATCACTGGCCTTTGCTCTTTCTCTTTTCTTTTTATTTCTTAATGTTTAGGCTTTTAAAATTATTTTTCTTAATTTTCACAGTTATACACATTATAGGACTTTTTCTGTCCAACTATAATTCAGGAACAACAAGCAAAAGACTGCAACCTAAGTTATTTTTGCAAGAAGTCCACATTTTTCACCAAGTTGTGCTATGTGTTAGCATAGAAAAGTGATTTTGTTCCATATTTTTTATTTTTTTCTAAATTTATCTGTTTTTTATTTTCCAATGTTCTTATACTCCAACTTGGATATATTGATAATTCATGCATCAAGCTTGGAAAATATCTATTTTTTTAATTTTTAATAAGTATTTGGGTTGCACTTTTAAGCATGTTTACTGCTAAGTGAACTTCTGTAGGATTGACCTAAATGCAACTGTTCTGTTTCACCCATGATATTTATCCAGAGCAGAGTGAAAGGAGCACCAAGGCAATCTTTCCCTCTTCACTCCTCCATTTCTGAAGTTCAGCTAGCTGTTTTTAGCCATCTAGCTACAGTGCTTCAGATAAAAGGAGGCTGCAACACTGCCAGGATACCCTTATTCCACAAAGAACTTGGTTTTACTCCTTTCCTTGCTCTCCTTTCCACACTTTTTACTCCTTCTCCAATGTCAATTTGCCAACTTAAAAGTAACCGTCAGCATGGTTCTTTACATCATGTTACATTAATTACTGCCATGCCCTGCTTGGTGAAAATATTTTAGCAAGGAGGAAACAATTGAGGAGAATTTATTTTAATTTTGAAGAAATCTTTGAGGAGTAGAAATGTAAAATGAGATGTATAGGGTCAGCTGAATAATATGATAATTGAACAGAACCTCAGCAGGTTGGGGTAATTCCAGTAACGTATCAGTCATTGCTACTGAACTACAAGGTTAGTTTCCCTACTTGCAGGTTGGCATAATATAAAAGGCCGCCATTTAAGACTTGGTGACAGAACAAATAAGGGCAAAGTTCTTTTAAAAAGTTTTGGATATGAGAGGTGCTATATAAGTGAAGAAAGGTACTATTTTATTTCATAACAAAACTGAAAAAAGCAATGCAGAAGTAGACTGCAAGATTCTCAGGTCTGATATCTTCATTCACTAAGGATGTGTTTCTTAGATGGAGTCTCCCATCCCAACCTCATCTAAGGACTACAGGATTTCTTGGAGTCTGAGCACGAAGGTGATCCAATGTTGGCACTCAGACTTTGAGAGTGAGCCCCTGACCCATCTCCTTGCAGCCACTGTGGAAACATCCACACCAGATGCTCTGCCAAGGTCACAGCTGGGCCTCAGAAAGAGGAAAAGGATGTGAGGAGGGAAGGAGGCAGTGTCCACAGAGTGGCAATCAGTGTCCTAGTCCCCTTTCCTCCCCATCCTTTGCACTAAATTTAGATAGCTTAAAATGGTCATCTTGATAAATCCCAGGGTACAAGGCACAGCAGTGGCACACATCAACACACCTTGTGCCTTGCTCTGCATGCTAATAAGCTTCTGAATTCAGAAATACCTGAGCATCTGCTGAAGGGTCAACAGGCCTGAACCCCTGGTCCTTTATTTATGACATTAATCGGAAATCAAACTACAACATTGTGATTGGGTCTCTGATCAGTAACCATATTTCTGTTGAGGGAATAATGGGATTGGAGATGACTTTGCTAAGATTCGTCTTGAATGAAAGAAATCAAGATAAACTGACAGAGCAGAAAACAGATGCAATTGGAATTAATTTAAGTCAAGCAGCAATACAATGGGACAGTTACCAGTCTATCTAAATTTGTCCAAACATATGTAAGTAGTGGTAGTTAGAGGTCTATAGACAGTGGTCAGGTATGCTTTCATTAATGGTGATGCCCAAGAGTTTGGAGGTCCAAGCCCAAAATGACTCCCAATAGGTCCTTCGGGTAGAACTCCCGGCCACTATAAATTAGGTATGTTTCAAACCTTCTTGGTCTGTCACCTTCTTTTTCCAACAAACATTACAAGGAAATCCATAGTATCTTCAGGATGCAGTAATAATATACAATATTTAATTGTGATCTTATATTGGATTTGCAAATTCCAATATAAGATCACAATTCTTAGATATTTCTTTTAATGTGATTCATAATATTGTTACATGAATTAATGTATCCCAAAATTTTTGGATACTTGTGGCATTCTGTGGCAGGAAACAGACGTAATTACTTATCTGCACAGAACCAAATGATGTGAATGGGACCACTAAATGATAGATTCAGATGCCAGTATCGTTGGACAAGCTGCACATATTTTCCTTCCAGAAATGACAAGCCTACAGTCAGTCCATCATTTGTTCAGCAAGTGAAAATGTTGTGCCTTTAGGAGAGAACTCAGTCCCACATTGATCCCATGACATAGATCTCAATGGAAAAAGCAGTCAGCTGCACTGACCCCTGGATCAGTTCAACATGGAGGCCAGTGAAATGCAGGCAGGCTTAAGTAATATTACTAATGAGACTATGGATAGGTACATGTTCTTACAGTCACTGCACTGGAACCAGCTGACATGCTGGATGGAAATGCATGTATTCGGGATGACAACTTGACAGGAACAGTAGCCCCCAAGGATTACAAGGGTAGGTGGCAACTGAGAAGATCATAACTGTTTATACTCAAAAGCAAGTAAAGTTTATTGGAATAAGAATCTTGTTTGTTTAAGATACTCTTCCTTCCATATGTGTAAAAACAATGTTCAGGATTATGTACGACAATTAAAAATTGCAAAATAAAAAATAGGAGAACAATGAAATGGGGAAGTTATAAACACAGAAATAGATATAACAGAGAAAGCTGACTAAAGGTGGGGGGTTTCAAACTATAAATTAAACAAAGCAACCCTACTACAAACCATGTGTTTAGACATTCACATGAAGCCTTACAGGAACCATGGATAGGCATGCTCTGTGCTCATGCCACTGACTCTACCACCAACATTGTGCAACTCAATAAGCTAAGAGTGGTCTTCTACACCAAGGGAACTTATAAGCCATGCAGGCTCGTAGCTCCATGTCACTGGGGTTCCTTATCAGCACTGAGTTTTACTATGAACTGGAAAAGAGCAATCCATGGTTCTGGAGCATAGTCCCAAACTTGTACAGTACTGTGGAGAGCTCCTTTAAAATTCAGATTGTATAAGGAGCTCTTATGTGAGTTTCCATATGTTCTGGGATCCCGCACAGGATTTCACACTATGTGAAAGCTTATGGTCTACTGGGCAATTGTGTTTATGGAAAACACTTTGATGAATAAAGATTTTTTTTTTTGTAAAGAAAGGTTTGTGGCTTTGAAAGTGTGAAGGAAAGGAACCTAGCTCATGACAGCTGTAGGTATCCATGCTCATGGTGGGGACAACAAGGCTGGAAGCCAATAACATAAAGCCACATGATACCTAATGCACAAAACCACTTCATGTAGAATGCTGTAGAAGTGTGCTTGCACTGACACAAACAGGTTGAAACAATGGACACTTAACCCACCTCTAGCTGCTGCTCTTAGATCTACCCTGCTTTCTATCAGTGTTGTTTATCATGAAAGGAAACTCCACAGTGTTGTCTCTACTCTTAGAAGCTGCTGTGTAGGTATTCATTGCACCATCACTATTTTGGAAGTGGCATCTCCTCAGCAAGAACTGGGCAGAAGTGGTTACTCTAAGAGCAATCTCACAATTACTATTAATGTGCTCCATCCTATTTCCCATCCTCAAAAGGGATGGAAATGTGGTGTGATGCCCATCCACTTTGTGCCCACAAAATTCTAGGCTGTAATGCATAGAACACATATCTGGAACTGGTCTTTCTTTCCGTATCCACACCTTGTATGACAGAACACATACAGAAAGACTGGTTTTATTGTAAGCATCGTTTGACAGACCTTCTTTAAATGGTAGAGAAGCAGCAACATACCTTTTAAATTTGTAGATTAAAAAAACTGCCAAGCCCACAAAGACCACCGATAACAGCATCAACATTGCTGAACTGCTGTGCCCAGCACCAGAATCAACGAGAGGAGCTGGGAGATGAAAGAATATCATGTTACACTGGAAAGTCATTCACTCTAGTGGGGTGAGGAGAGTGAAGCATGAGAAAAGGCATGTCTGTCCATCCATCCCTCTCTCCCTCCCTCCCTCCCTCCTTCTTGATTATTAGCACCACTGTGCTTTTTTATGCAAAGGCAACCCATATGGGCAAAAAGCTGGTCCCTCCCTTTGTAGTCTATCTTCAATTTATAGACAGCAAAGTAATGGAAAGGACGTGGTAGGCCGCAGAGAGCCATCTGTGCTCAGACTGCCCACCCCACTTCCTTGGTCTGCTTTAGATTCAACCTGTTTTTTTTTTTTTCTGTCCCAGAGAGAACAGGGGTCATTTAATTATGTACTAATAAAAGAAATGGAGAGACATTCTTTCTTAGGGTTTTTTTTTTCTTTTGGTGCAGCAGATGTTTTGAAGTCCTTAAAACCCCTTTTCTCCCTTTCCATGACTCTGAATTTACTCTACATTGTTCCAAGCAGTCTTGCTCAGCCCTCTGAACTCCTCTTTTCACTCAGGACAACTCCGAACTCTTCCCTGTCTGCCTTGTTCCAGTCCTTCACATACCCACTCTTTTCCATCCCAGGATCAATGTCACAGCTACTCCCCTTCTCGCTCTCTTTACCCCTTTCAAGTGCCCACACAGTAGCTCCTAAGTGCACTGCTGTAATTGGCAGTGCTCAACAGTCGGTGGCTCCCAACAATGCTGATGCCTTTTGTGTGTAAGAGTACTGTCACCCACACCGTGGAGACGAGGCTTTCAACCTTTCTCTGCTAAGCAAGAAAAAGAACGCATAAGTTTCCTGTGCTTCTTGTTTCTCTACAACAACAGCATGTTTCAAATATAGCTTTTGTGCTTCCTCTGTGCATAGGCTCCCAAACAGCTTTGTATAATGGTCAGGCTGTGCCATTGTGAAGATGGTATTTGGTTGTGGAAGAAAAATCTGGAGAGAGAGATTTCCTTTCACTTTAGTATTCATAATTTTATACTTCTGTTGGTGTCATTCACCTTTAGCCAGGTGAAGCTGTCAGGCTCAATTTTTCTCAGATTCTCTGCCCTGCCCACCTGTTGCTTTTCATCTGCGCAAAAATGTTTTAGAGATGTTTGTGTATTTAAAATAAAAAGGGCTTTAGAAAACATTATTGTACAATGTATTCATCATTATGCACCATTTTTGGAAATAAACACATTTCCTGTGAGTTTATTATGAAAATTTTGCATTTTTCTGAACTTATTTTCTTCTAAAAATGGCACTGCAAGTTTCAGAAGTGTCCAGATTTTGATAGCAAATGGTTTGCATTTTGGTTTGCATATTTGCCACATTCATATTAAAATGCAAACAAATTGATTTCTCACCATTTCTATTATGTTCCCAGCCTTTGTAGGATGGGAGCCTCATTTAGTACACTTAAACTGTTCTCAGTGCCTCTAAGCTTTTCTTGGTAGGAAAGGTTGTCACATCCCAATTATTTTAGTTGCTCATTTCCATACCCTTTCAACCTACACGGCATTCAGCTTGAGATGTTGCCACCATATGAACTCTGAGCTATCCATGGCCATTATACATTTATGTTTTCTTTTCAGTTTAACTTCTGAGTAGCTATAGGGAAGGACTGGATTGTATCAGGACCCTAGCAAGGGACATAGTTATCCATCACCTTTTTGCTTCATCAGCTTACCTAACGTTAGTTGAGTGACATACACAATGACTTCTACGCCGGGCTTCAACTCAAACTGGACCAGGTTCTGATTCAAAGCACTGAAGAGGATTTCAACAGCCTGAAGAAGCAATGAAATATTCATACATGATAGCACTTCTGAAGACTTCTCACTGGCATATCATATGTACTAAAACTTATTTTTCAAATGCTTGTCATTATGAAGTTAAGTATATGCATGGTGTGGGGGAAGAGGCAAGGTTTGCTAAATTACAAACCAGAACAAATTTAGGAGAAAGGGACAAAAGACTCAACTCCATTTCTCCACATTTAAGACCAAACATACTCAGTAGGTTCAGATCACTGGCCTATTATTGCAAGAAAGAATGTGAAACTGTGAAGGGGGATGCAATGGTGCCACTTGAAATGCTAGCTGGAGCATTTCATATTGTGACCATTTGTTGAAGATTCCACTTTTACTTCAGTTATTCCTGAAACAGTTTCCCCACAACATAAAGAGCATGCAAATTGCAGAAGATTTTGTTCCAGAAATACAAACAGTAAAGATTGGGATATCCAGTGAGGTATATGTGGACACCTCTGTCCTGTTCTTTATTTTATTTGTTATTATTGGTTTTGATGATGAAGAACAGTACAATCTTTATTTCCAAGAATGACTTTAGGTCCCAATGGACTCCCAAGGAATTCTTAGAAAATAAAAATGTGGTTTGTTTGTTGTTTCTTTTAAATGCCACATAGAAAGTCACTTGTAAAGTGCATACATTTCTCCTAATATATGTATTTCTGTCAGCACTCATTAAGCTTGCATAATATGTACATTAAGTCTGTGCAATATACACATATACACATTGTAAGCAGTTTTTACTTGTATATTACTTTTTTGGGTGGCAGATATTTTTTCACTAAAGTACAACTATTTCTCATTTTCATATTGATTTGGGAAACATGTAGCTGGTATTAAAATGTGAACTCAAAAAGAATTGTCCCATATCTGATTATATATTATTGATCTAGCTCTCTGATAAGGCATCAACAAAAATAATTGGGCTTGCTGGAAATTCCTATTATACTCCCTGCTGCCACAAAGCTTCCCAGAGGAAAACAGTTGATTTAGTCACAACTTAATTCCCGCATGGAACTTTTAACAAGCCTATGCTAATGTTCATTACTCTTCCCTTAATATAACAGTTGCTATTCACTGCTGTAATTACCTATTTATTTCAGTAAATGTGTATTGTACATTCCCAGCTGCAGTCAATCCTGCTTTTCAAAAGAATGTACTTGCATTTGTTTTCAGATACAGCTTTGTCTCATTCACTCATTTTCAAATGTATTCGCTCAACTCACTTTTGCACTTCTGATAGGACTAGGAGGACCATACATGATAAATTGGGACCATAGGAGTGGACTGCACCATGAAGCTACGTGCTTGAAGGGTTGACATTTCTATTAATATACAAGAACAGGTATACAGGTCCTACATTTGTATGCACATAGTCTGTTATTGGAATTTCAAAAACAGGTGGCTTGGAGCAGAGCCTGCCACCAAAATTCTGTTCTTATCACACTATATTCATTTATTCAACCCACACTCAAGGCCCAAAATGGATTTTAGAAAATCTTCAGTCTGTACCACAGAAATGGTATTGTTCCAATCAGGTGTAAAATTATAGCTATATTTCCAAGCAAGCATATATAAGAGTGGGTTTCCCCAGCCTCACAACCATGTTTACCAAGTAAAGTGATAACAGATAAAAATACATACATACATTAATAAAGCCTGTGCAAACAGCATAAGGGCTGAAACCTGAATAAAGGGTACTTAAAGAAGGGAGAGATTAAAAGTCTGAGAGAATACAAGGATCTTCCTCTGCTGCTGAAAAGGATAGCAAGGTAGGTGCTGCCAGATGAACCCAGGTGCCACCACTGTAAGCCAGTCACTCCTTAGTAGCCAACAGTTACACTTCCGTTGATGGGGATGCCTGAAAAAGGACTTCAGAAGATGATTGTGCTGGGTGCATGTGGTGATAGGAGACCATTCAGGTCTCCTGGACTCAGATCATGAAGGGCTTTGAGGATCATAAACTGCACTGAACTGGGCCCAGAAGTGAAAAGAGAGCCAGTGAAGCTGGTCAAGCCTGAGAAAGAGCTCCGAAAGCATATACAGATGAATAAAAATTTGGATGATCAAATGCAAAAGACAACTGTGGTTCCTTCATGGTTAGTAGTTCTGTAGAAGAGGGTGTTTTGGCAGGAAGAGCTTGTCAAGAAGAGATTAAAGAGCTGCACCTGCTTAAATTCCCTGTTCAACACAGCTGTTAAAAATATGATGTCCTCCATTGAATCTGGTCACTCTAATTATAGTAATTGCCTGGAAGAGAGTATTGATATAGTGGGCATGTCACAGATCTGTTGGAACAGTGAAAATCGATGGGATACAGTTATCCTTGGATTTGCAATTTATAGAAAAAGGACAGAGGAGGTCATGCTCAGAGGTAGTGGGGCTCTTTTTTCAGAGTAAGCAGAGAGTCCAATATGTAGGTGGTACAGAACAACAAACAAAAACTGAATTAATGGGCTTTTGCAACCATCTTCCAATTGGTTGGGTAAGTATTAGAGACAAAAATTGATATAAGCAATAAACGGGTAAGTTATAATTGCTGAGACTCTTTATCCCATCCTCAGAGAGTCTGTGTGGCACAGAGGTTAAAGTGCTGGACTGGGGACCTGGGAGATCTGGGTTCTGGTCCCCACTCAGCCCTGAAGCTCACTGGGCAATTTCATGAAAGTCGCTCACTTTCAATTTAACCCAGCTCATAGCACTGCTGTGACAAAAAAAAAAAAAAAAAAAATGGAGTGGCGGTAGACCATGTAAGCTGCCCCTGATTCTCTGCAAGAGACAAAAAGGTGGGATCCAAACGCAGCGTAACAACAACCATATCCAGCATTTAAATCAGTGTCAGTGCAAGTGTCCCATCACCCCTCTTCCCTTCTAAGAAGGATGAAGGCAGCAGAAGTGATTGCCTCTTCACCTGCACAGGAAGCCATGAAAGCGGGAGAGGTGGTTCTGGAGACCACGTGTACCAAGGCAGCACAGGTGATCCACAGTGCTACTTCCCTACCAATGCCTCACCCTGAAGAAGAGCCTGTCATGGTGAGGCATTAAGGCAGAATCTCCAGCAGCTTCCCAGAGAGTGAACACACCCAATGCCATGTCCTAAGAGATCCTCAAAGCTACGTATTGGGCAGGGGACACTCTGGAGAACTATGCCAGCTCCTCCCTGCAGCCAGGCGCACCATGGCTTTCTGGGTTGATTGTGTGATGCTTCGCTTCAAGAGATGGCATGTTCCCCACCAGTCTGGAGAGCTGTACTAGCCACTCTACTGCAAGTGACAACCACCCACCCAATGGCTTACTCTGACAGGTCCTCGGTGTGAAATGCTGGATGGCCAGTGGCAGACATTCTGAAAAGCCCAGTTGGTTGCTCTCTGGAGTCAGGTTGCTGCCCAGCAGGGCTCCCTGGAAAGAAGGTGTGGCATGAAGTTTTCCTAGCATGAGCAGAGTGCATAGAATCCACCATGTATGGGACCTACCGTCTGAAGTTGGGAGATTCATCTGACCTCATGGAAAGGCTATTTATCTGATGCAGCAAGGGTGACTTTTCTGCTCTCTGGGATTTCATTATGTACCCTGGGTGATAGTTTAGGAATGAGGCCTTGTGAGACAGGCAGCAGCACCTTTTGTACTATGGATAGCACTGGTAGCACCATCCCAGTGAGTTCAGGACATCCAAGGAAAGTCCTGACAACTTCAACAGCACCAAGTTAGAGTAACTGAAAGAATTTTATAGCCAGACTAGGAAGCCCTTGTAGGAGTTTCACATCCTAAAGTCTATATCCACTGTCCTTTCCCACAGACCATAGATCTGCCTGGATGGGGAAGGACTGGGGAACAAGGAACAGGTTTGGGAATTCTTCCCAGAGTTTCCCTACTCACTAGAGGAATCCAAGATCCATGGTAGCAGCCCTTCCTTCTAAAGCTTGGGAGACGGTCCTAATTCCCCATTCAAATCGCTGCCACTACAAACCTGACTCTGAGAGGTTTGGTCCTAAGCCATGAGAGTGGCTAGATGCAAAAGCAGACAGGGCTTTGTGCAGTTTTGAGAATGCAAATTTATACAATACTGAATTTGCATACAAATATATTTGTGTAAAATCCAGTTCCATCAATTAGCAAATGACAGAACAGAAGGCACCTATCAATCTGCAAAACATAGATGAAATGGATTTTACAGGAGCTAATTAGCATGGTGTCCCACCCAGGGCTACTGCATAGGAAAAAAAGAAGGCAGCCTCCAAAATTCAGCCATCTTTTTCTGTGCAATGCTACTGAGAGGAACAGCATGTCAGTATGTCCCTTTGCTTCTAGGGGCATTTATTACCCCATTGTGAACTAGTGTGTAATAGTCACAGCAGCAGCTGAGCTTTTTATCTACATGAAGCAGCTGTTATCTGCACAGAATGAGTCCTCTTTCCCAAGGTGAATGATTTTTGTCTTGGGGTGGGGGAGCTGGCAGAGATGGCCCAATATTGTAACTTTGAAATGTGGACCATTTAAAAAGGAGTAAACAGGATATCCGTGGTGAATGATTATAATGTCTAAATGTTGCACTCATGGTCAGAAGGAGCCTGCCTGTAGGACTGCTGCAAGAGGGTACTTTTGTCTCCATGTCCTGCTTCCTGTAGGCACCTTGTTTGCTAATATGTGGATATAACACTATGAGAGTACCCATGTAGTGCTGCGGATATCGTGCTGGCCTGGGATACAGGAAATTGAGGTTCCAGTCCCCACTTGACCATGAATGTTCTTGGGTGAATCTGGGCTGGTTATGGACTCTCTGCCTAACTTGCTTCAGAGGGTATTCCTTACAAGACAGGATAAAAGGCAGGATTTAGAAGGGGAAGGGGAAGGGGAAGAACAGAACAGAACTATAGACAGGAAGACTTCTTAGGGGCAGTATCTTGTACTGTTGCAGTACCTCTGCTAGTTCTGCTGCAGCAGGGGATGCATCTACTAATCACAGGAATCAATGGTTCCTAAATCTCATTTCCAGGGCCAGGGCCCTTCTGTGGTCTTGGCTGACCAGCCCTGTTTCAGTGCTGCCACTCATTTCCAGTTCTTTGGGGAACTGCTACTGCCTGTTGCACTAGAGGTCATTTCTACCAGCATGGGGGCAGTGGAAGATACTGTGCCCTGTTCTTAATGCAGGTACTCAGAGAATCTCTTGTGGAGTTTCAAGTATTTATCTTAACACTCAGGCATTGTGATTCTGTAGGGTTGCTTACCCATAGCTAATTTAGAGGCAAAGCAAGTCTTGACATTAATATTTGGAAAACCAGCTAACAAGTTATGCCGCTTTGAACACAACATTCCAGAGCCCAGCCCAGTGTCAGGGCACGCAGTGGTAAAGCTACCCGGCTGTCTCCTGCTTAACTAGTGCTCAGTGCTGTGGAAGAAAGTGGAAGAAACGATACCCAGATGAAAAGCATTTTCTCACCTGCTCCAAATCACCCTCACTGTCTTTCCTTCTCTCTGACATGTTTTGATGGGGTAGGATGAAGAGCTCAGCGGACGTGGGCAAACCAGGAAATACTGCCACCAGAACTTGCTCATCAGGGATTCCAGTCACCTAAACAAGAGAACCAGTTACAATGTAGTTTTGATTTAGAAGTGCCAACAGTGTGGGGTTAGTGTTTAAGAGTGCAAGACTGGAACTCAGGTGATCTGGGCTCGAGCCTCTGCTTGGTCATGGAGCCAACTGGGTGACATTGGTCCTGTCAAACACTCAGCCCAGCCTACCTCACAAGGTTGTTGTTGTGGGGATATGATTGAGAGGAGGAGAATTATATAACCCATATTGAGTTCCTTGATGGGAACAAGGCAGGAGTATTTATATATTTATTTAAATGCATTTCTATACCATTTGATTAGCACAATGCTCTAATGTTTACTGATAATAATTAACACAAACAACGAGTAAATAAATATAATAACTTGAGAAAATGTGGAAAGATATAATCTTGGTTTGTAATATCTATCCATATACCTTCTCAATAAATCTTAAAAACATCAGATCATGTCATAATGCTCCAGGGAACAGATTTATCAGGTATCTAAAAGTGATGCTTTCATACTGTGGCTCTCAGTTCCTCAATTATTCTAAAACTAGGGACCACTTTGACCACTCAAACCATGAAAGCCATTCCAAATGGGAGAGTCCCTTCTCCGGGAACACTCCATGAAAGAAATTAGGAGAGTAAGTACCCGGAGGAGGGCTTTCTCTGTGGTGGCGCCCAACCTATGGAATTCACTCCCCAAAGAGGTCCGCCTGGCACCGTCGTTACTGGTTTTTCGGCGCCAGGTAAAGACCTTTTTATTTAAACATCATTTCAATTGTTAAAACATATGATCAGGCCATGGCAACTTCTTCTTCCTTCTCTTTCTCCTCCTATATTTTTATTTTATACTGATAATTTTAATTTTATATTTGTAAATCAATGTATTTTTTGTATTTTTATATTTAATGGTAATTTATTATGTACTATTGTATTTCAATGTATTTTTTCACGTTGTAAGCCGCCCCGAGGTTTCGGCAAGGGGCGGCATAGAAATGTTATAACAACAACAACAACAACAACAACAACATGATGGCACAACTGATTCCTCAACTATCTTTGAGGACGGGAGTTTGCCATGTGATTGCTCTTAAATAAAAGAGGGACCAGAATATCAGAATAACAGTCCCGCATGCTCATTGGCCAAATGTTCCAGTCACATCCCTTGTTAGAGAAGTGCAGGTAAATGGCTCAGCAAGGCTGGAAAATAGCAGGCGAACTAGCGGCGCATTCCCTTAATGTGTGTATGCAAGCAGCAGACTGGGCAGTGTAGCAAGAACAGTGACAGCCAGGCTTGCAGGAAGGGGAGGGGGCACATGGTACCCCCAGCCCACCTGTTGCCCACCTGTCATGTAAAAGAACAGTGATACTGCAGCCTGACTTGAAGCTGTTCTTTGAGAGCCAGCTTCTGCACTGCATCTTCTGACAAGGAGCAGTGAATTTGCTACTTATAGAGAAACTATGGAGTTTGCTTCCTCCTGTGCTCAGTTTCTGTATTTGTAAACAAGTCAAGAGATTCCAAAAATATCATAAATCTCCTTCCAAAGAAAAGCAAAACCAGGTAAGTACCAACCCCACTTGGGGAAGTGGGAAAAATGCAAAATAATTCTGGAGTTCACACAGTTTTATTCCCATAGTAAAGATAGATCTGGTTATATTTAACACAATTACTCAAAGATTGTTGACTAAAACAAAAACAGTATTTTTCTTCAGATCATGACTTCAGGATCTAGATGTTCAGAACTATGTGTGACAGCACCTTGAATGCAAGAAACCAGGAATCCTAACATCCTATCCATTAATGCATGTTCTTTCTCATGTAGAATCTGAAGCACTACCATAGGTATTTCCTGAAGCCCTCTCCACAACTGTATGCCTTGATAAGTAGTGAAAAGTCAACCAGCAGAAGTAAGGAACTCCTGAGAACATTGGAGGTAAGGAAAAGACGCCAGTTGTGGTCACCCCAGTCTACAAAAGGGTTGGGATCCATCCTAAACGTATGAGAGGTGGAAATTCCAAAAATGCTTTGTATGAAACATGCACACACACACACACTTACTTTTGGATGGCATGCCTCCACAGTCTATTTTTAAGTGTGCTACACTGTATTTTACTTTAAAACAGAAAAGATGTGGCTAAATAGAGCAACTAAACATGGGTGGTTTTGCATCTTCCAAGGCATATGTTCCTGCTTTGCACAAACAATAATCAAACCATGTACTTTTTCTCAGCTAGATATAGGAGTTAATACAAATCCATGTGCAAAAAAAGAATGTGCTCTTGCTAGAAAAGGCCAAAAGAGATCTGGAACAGGAGTCGTTTAGCAGTGAGCTGCTTGGAGCATTACTCGCAGGATGCTGAAAATCAAGCATTCTGCCCCCATTTATTTATTTATTGTTGAGCAGCAGGAATGCATTTTATCAAAGAGAACAGAGCTATCATTAAATCACACTGAGCAAGTTTTTCCACAGTGGGGATAACAAGTAGGCAAAACTGCAAATTTTTCACACAGTGTTTTGTTGACTGCAAAAATTTAGTTTGCCAAGCAAATCTTGGAAGGAAACGTGAACGTATACCATCTGCCATGAAAAGGAATAATTAATAATACTGAAAGAGAAACAAATATCTGAATCTCCTAACAACAGGAATCATCCACTAGACAAGCTTCAGGTCATATAAGGCAATAATATCCATGTACCTTATATCATTCCAGCTATTTCACAGCCTTATAAGCTGAGTGCCAATCCTTATGAAGCTAACACAGCACCACACACATAGAAGAGGGAGGGATCAACAGTCTCAAGGGAAACCTGAGATTTTCAGAACTAAATAATATTTTAAAACAGAAAGGGTCCTGAAACCCCTCAGCTCCAGCTGGGAAGACAGCCTGTACCATACTCCATAGGTAACCCTCCTCCAGTTTGATGGTCAGGAGAAATGTGGGCAAAGATTCTAAATATCAGTATTCTTCCTTTTATGCCCCCTTCCCACAACACTCGTGCCAAAATCCACCTTCTCTGTCTCAACCACCTCATTGCCATCCACACTAACTCCCAAAATCGACACAGCAACAGTCCAAGCCACAGTTCTTCTCTATAAGATTCCAGTAACTGATGCACTTTCCCATGATTTTTGAGGAGTGGAGGAAGGAATGGAGTATAGGCTGTGCCTGTAGCCTGAGGCAAACCTTCTGGGTCAGTTTAAGCTTCTCTTTTGGATGTGAGGCTAGCTCAATTTTAGCTAAAGTTGAAAAGCTTGAAAAGCTTGTCTTGGTTGTATGGGCAACGACGGAGAATGGAAACAAAATTTAGAGGATACTGTGAAGGTGAAGGTTGATGGGAATGCTGAAACAGAAGGAGAACAGCATGATGGCTTCAGCTTGGGAGATATCCTGGAACCCGAAAAATTCCCACAAGATTCTTCCCCCACACCCTGCTGGGAAAGTTCTGAACTACTAATGGCACGCTAGCCTGTGGTCAGCATAGGCAGAAAAATAGCATTTTGGGCTTCAGCACATCAGGATGCTAGTCAAAAAGTGTGTTTGTACTTCTGAGCAGTGCCTCCATTATTTAAAACCCCAGACTTAAACCCCAGTTTCCCCTACTGTGTAGTGGCACTAAACAAAAAAAGAATAACAGACTAATGCTTGTAATACAACCTTTAACACTTGAAATGTTAATGCTTGTAATGTGGAACACATGGGGCATAGAAATGGCTATAAAGACAAGGGCCTATAGATAGCCTTCTGTAAACTGATTTCCCAGTGTGATCCAGAACATAGAAAATGTGTTGATTTTGATAAACAAAACAGATACAAAAGACCTGGTTAGTGGTGGACTCACTAGTATCATGGGAAATTACCAGCTCAGTCACACAAATATCCCTTCTATAAAAGGTACTGATGATGTATTACCTTTCAAGGTTGCTGGAAGGATGGATGACATAAGGAACATTTTTGTATACTAGAAAATGAGTATATAGTCTATTACATGATGCTGTACCAAGACCTCAACATGCTCTGAATGGCTTTCTTAAAAGTTATGTGGCTCACTGGGAATGATTTTTTTTCTTTGCTAATCATATCCTATCCAGGATAATATAATCCCATCCATGAATTGTGCAGCTACAGATTGCTCAGATTTTTAAGACAATCATCCTTATTATTCAGTAGCCTGCCTATGAGGACTTACCTGCACCAAGGCTCTCTTGATTACTCTGCCAATATCTTCTCTCCACTCAGGAATATCAGGATTGTGGTAATCCAAATTAGGAGAGAATGATAATAGTTGAGACTGGAAATATTCTGCAAAGAGAATCTCACAGTCAAAGCCCAGCTCTTTGAAGGCAATTAATGTGCATCAACTGTTATATTTAGCAGGATAATTCTATATGTAGCATTAGACTGGCAGAACAGAAGATATTCTTACAATTGCAACATCCGCTAAATAGCAAGTGCTAAAGAAAATTTCCATTCTTTCAATTTATAGTAGAAACTTTTTAAATCATTATTTTCCCCCAAAGAATTGATTTTGCAAAATTAATTCTCAGGTGCTGAAATTGATTTTGTAGGGTTGAGTCCCCATACCGCAGATGGTTGGTTTTAAATTGCCAGGTTTCATATGACTACCTATTGAATATGTACCTAGAAAATACAACTAATATCCATCTTTAACCTTCCCAGTTCAATGGATCAAATTTTTATATACAGTTAGATAAAGCAGAAGACCAGTAGTAGAAGGAATTATATTTGAACCATGACTTTCAAGAAGAGTGGAAGCCCCAACTCTTGTTCATATGACAACGGTGATAAGGAACAATGAATGTATGTCACATTCATAATGCACGGTTCCAAAAATTCCATCAGTTGATTTTGAGCTGAACTGTGTAGTTCTAACTAACAGCACACTCCTACACATGCTTCTCAGAATTAACTCCTATTGAGTTCAATGAGGGTGCAATCCAATCTAGATCTAAGAACATTCTCAACTCAGAGAAGGCTGAGGCACCACCAGTATGCTTCATATTTTAGCAATGCCTCAAGGCAACCCATACCCAAAAGTCCATCTCTAAGCCTTTCTTGTGACCTCAGAACTGCAAAATTAAACTTCAGAGTTGCTGCCATTTAGGGCTGTATCCTAAATCCTAGATACATTAGGAGATGAGGACAATAGAAAAAGAGAGGAAAAGGAGCAGTATGATGCATTGTCTGAGAGCAAGAAGGAGACATTGCTGTTTTTAATAATGCAATTTTATTCCATTATAAAGCATTATCTTATTTATCTTTCTATTTATTTATTTATTGCATATGTATGCCACCCCATAGCCAGAGACTCCCTGGACGCCTCACAGCGCAATCATAAAAATACAGATAAAATAATAACAATAATAACAAAAACCATAAAACATAAAAGAATAAAAATATAATATAATGCAACCATATAAATACAACAGGAGGAAATATACACAATATAACCAATAAAACAACCAATAAACAATAAACTAGCAGTAAACCAATAGTTTTTAACAAAATAGAATAAAGGAAGCAGCCAGATGAGCACACAAATCTTCTATGTTAGTGTGAGTAAGGAATTTCATTCGTGTGGGTATGCTTTTCAAATGAAACTTACTAAATTAAGTAAACACCTTACAGATGTAACAGAAAGAACTTGAGATTCCAGAAGAGCAAATGCAGGATGAAGTGAAACTGACACATTCATCCTTTGAGACAGAGGACTTTGTGTGCTAAAATCTTAAAATTAAAGGTTGCATTTCCTGTTTTTGTGCAGAATTAGGTTAACTTCCTCCTCCCCTTCTCACAGGTTCCTGAACATTAATAGTTCTGTGACAATCAGATACCACACGGGGCTTACCACAGACATACTGAATTAGGTGGTGCAGATGAGAGAAAATTTTATGCAGTACATTTTATAATAAATTCTCAAATGCCTTCATAAATGAGGTGGAAAACATTTAATAGAGAAGAAAGTGAAACTGGCAGATCTGTCCATCCCAAGGTATGAGATTTGGTACTTTGCTTGGTTCTCCAATTTTAGAACATTTTGCATTCACCAGAACTATCCAGAAATCAAACAGTGCTAAGAAATAAGTAGGAGTCGGTATTCAGAAATTAGTTTGTTCTTCTATTGCACTTGGCTTACTTTGTGCTCTGTTGAATAAATCCTTGCTGTAAGTAATGTTTTCCAAAAGCAGGAATTGTCTGTTTGTTAGCCCCATGTGCAGCCATGAGTAGTTAATGCATAACAAATCAGATACCAATCATGCTAATGACAGGCAAATAAGGGTATTGCAATTCATGAGACACTAAGAAATTACTTCCTAATTAACTGACTGCAGGAGAGCAAGGCTAATTTCAATGGCAGGCAAGTTGATGAATTCACAGAGCTGGACCTCTTCTCTGACCCAGCGCAGAATCTGTTCACTGCTGAGCTGAAAGCTTCATTTCACTTTAGCAAGCACCTGTCAATAAGGCAGGGCTGTGAAACTTGCTATCTATCTTTCCCGTTGCACCTAGTCTCCATCATCCATCTTTGAACCACTCACTCTTGCACATTTGGGACCTGTGCTTTCTGCATCCTTCACCTGTCTTGATATCCTCTGCTGATCTAATGTCAGGGTGGAGCTCTGGAAGCGAGGATGCTGTAACCTGTCTTAATGCCAATGACCTACTTGCTTAAATGTCACTGAAGATGGTAACACTGATGTTGAGTGCTTGAGCTGGACAAAGGGAAGATCACTGGAGACCTCAGAATATCAAATTATTAGTAGTATTTGTATTAATCATCTAAGGTAGATCATCTTTTGCCAGTAGAAATGGCTGTGAAAATAGTTACTAGTTACATAAACCACCCAGAGAGTTAAAGCTGCGGAGTGGTATAGAAATGAAATAAATAATAATAATGTAAATAAGATGTTAGACTTTGGAGATTATCTTTAGTCTTCCTGCTTGCCTCTTCCTTGTAAACTTTGTTAATGTCCAGCACTCTAGAGAAGTTCTGAAATTAATGTATTCTCCAAACTGGCATGCTATGGCTTCTGGCTCAATATTTGCTGGGGAACTGTCTACTACAGGTATACTGCCATTATGCCAATACAAACAGAGATGTGTGAAGAAATTGCTCTGATGTATTTCTTTCTTAAAACTGAAGTCTTCAATTCATAGCTGCATAAGCTGGTTCAGTCCAGATGTGCAGTTTTTGGAAATTTGAAATTAATAACTGAAGATGTGCAGTTTTGTGAAAATTAAAAACACACACACAAACATAGGTTTGTACACATCCATCAGTGGTTAGATGTGCACATGATATGTGCATGAAAAAGCACATTTTCCCCTCCCCCAAAAATATATGTGGAATTTTCCCAACCCCAAAAAGCATTTACACAAAAACTGGTAGAAGACACTTTTGCTGGTGAAAAATGGCAGAACTGCACAGAAACAGACAAAACATAACTGCCTATTCCTACATACCAATAGGAATCTGACGTTATTTCCCATGAAGAGGCTGCTAGTTTCCTTCCCTGACAAGGTCGGAGCTAGCAGCTGGATGGAAATGAGTTGCCTTCTTCCTGTTTTCCCCTGAGAATGTTGATAGAGATAAGCTCACAGGGATGGTAATATTCCACAAGCTGAATAGACTCAACTGTGCTGGGCCAACTCCAATCAGATTCTGGCTATAAACTATAAGGCTACTGAACCACTGGAATGCTGTAGCCTGAGCAGATCTTTTGAGACTGAAAGGCTTATATTGAAAGCTTTGTTGTACTTCCAGATGATAGAACTACCAGACTCTAGGCTCTTTTTTTAATATTAAAGTATTAAAATGGAAAAATGAAATATTGTAATTTTCCTGCATGATATTTAAGCAATAAGTCTATTACATTCACACACATGCACATGCACACTCATACATACAAATTGATATATACACAACACACACATACACACACTGCTTTTATTAAAGGTATTAATGTGCAGACTTCAATGAAGGCAACAAAAATATCTGGAGATTTCTCCATTTATAGATTATTTCTAAAAATCATCTGTTCAAAAAATTGGAGTGTGTACAAAGTCAAATGAGGCAAACTGGTGTCTGTTTTCAAGAAGGATGTCTTCTCTGGCATAGCTTCTGCCAATACAAAAGCCTTTCAAACAACACACAATGCACGTAATCTGTCAGGGAGGACAGGTATGGGGAAAGGCAATTCAAAGGATCCTAAGTTCTGCAGAGTGTGATTGGATCTCAATGGCAAATGAAGTGAGCAACTTTCGGCCAAGTTCAGGGGCAGTGCTATGAACTGGTACATGGAAAAAGGAAGGCAATGGCCAGTGCCTTACCTTGCTACTCTTTGCCACCATGAAGGAAATTGTTTGGGAAGGGGAATAAAATAGCTAAAATAATGGTACTTATTCTAGAAAAGTTATGTGATTATTGCCATGATCATCTTTATGTCCTATAAATCAGTTTGTGTCTCCTATAACAACAGTTTGCACACATAACCAAGAAATTTGCAAGCTTATTTTGTCGTTATTATTTCATGTTAATTTCTGATTAGTGATGGGCAATGAAATATTTTTCAGAGACAGAATCTTGTTTAAAATCTAGTGTATCACCTGCATTTATACTTATGTTATATGATTTCAACTGTGAACATGTATGCTTCTTAATTTTTGCTTATGTTCGTTCAATATAATTTTTGCAACTAACCATTCAGTCATCTGTGGGAATATTTTCTGAATGTAGAACATAATGTTTAATAAGAAAAATGTATAAAATTAAAGCACCTTAATTCCAAAACAAGCATATATATGAAATGATATGTTATTATATGGTATTTATTGATTTAAAACTTTTCGGGACAGCTCACAAAAAAACCTGTTAACATTATTGCTAGATGTAACAAAAGATTAAAATTAGGGTATGAAATCCACATAGCAAAGCCATTCCAAGGGCTGACTTTTTCAAAAAGAGCTCATATTTTTGGACTGATACTGGGAATATAGTACAGAAAGTTTATCCATTATCACTGTGTGCACCTGAGATGCCAGCCAGCACATGGTTGAAGGGTGGGGGAATCAAGCTGAAATCAGTATGCTAATGACACCAAGCTCTACCTCACCTGTCCATCAGAGTTAAGTGAAGTTCTGGAGGGGCTTTACTGATGTCTGCTGACTGCCAAAAGACTGTAGCTGAATCTCCAAAAGGCTGAGATATAGTAACTGATGGGTCTCAGATCTGGGAATTACAGGAGTGGATTGCTCTGGACTGGGTTGCAATCTCCCTGAAGGACCAGGTCATTAGTCTCGTGGTGTTCTTTGATTCTGCCTTGTCACTGTGGACTCAAGTGGGTGAAGCAGCAAAGAGTTTTTGTCCGTTTGTGTTTGCGATTCTAGTTGGTTCACCAGTGAGCGTTATTCCTGGACAATTATAGTCTGGTCACAGTGATTAATGCATTGAACTATTCTAAAACAACTACTCTGTGGGTAGTGACACTTGCAGCTGGTCTGGAGATTGCAGCTTGGATGCAATGCAAGGCATTGGTGGGTTTCACCATGTGAGATAGGGAAAGATGAAAATTTTGTTTCAGTTTATTTTGAATCAGGTTTTGCCAAGTTCGTACTTTCTGAACACATACTAGATCTAATCTGTGAATGAAGTTGCAATGGGATTTGCAGTCCCCAAAAATATATTCAGTGAAATGCATACATTTGAAAAATGTGCATGCAAAATGATTGATGTTTTAATCAGTAAGAGAAGATGCACACAAATGATGAATGATGGTGAAAAATATGCATATGTTTTCATGCAAACATTAAAGAAAAACCATACTTTGAATCTGTTATGGGCTCAAGTCCAAATAAGCTTTGAGATGGAATTCAGAGAACTTAGGTTAGCTAACTTTCATACCCCTTGTCATCAAGCACAATTCAATACGTTGGTTTTGCTGCATAATGCCTTAAATAGCTTAAGTCCTGCCTACCTAAAGACTACCTCTCCTCAGTTCTTCTTGCTTGTATCATCACCTAATAAAATTGGACATCCAGAGCACATCATGCAATCTCCTTGGTGGTGGCACTTTGTCGAACAAAGCCCTAGCACCAACTTTAGTCAGCCTTTAGCACCAAATTAAAACATTTTTTAAAGAGGATTTTTAATAGATGATTGGATCCATGTATTACAATGAAATATTTGATGGACGGTGTATATGAAAGTTTTGATTCTGATTGGTTGTTCTACATTTACATTAGTTGTATTGGTTTTGCAATCATATATTATTATATTAGTATTGTAACTCAGCCTGTGATTGCTTTGTAAAGAAGGTCAGGATATCAAATCTATAAATAATTAAATTATTGAATAAAGCCCACAGGAAGTTTGATGCTTTAAATCCCAAGTACCGCAGAACTGGAAAATGAGAAATAAGAAAATGAATAAGGGAATTTAGACAGCATTTCCACTTGAGAACCCATGAACAGATATCAGCACTGATAATTTGCTTATACTGTTCCTACATTTCCATGTCAATAGCAGAAATTCAACAAACATTCATTCTTTCTATAAAACCATGATTAATATGCTCAGTCACACTTTAATTCACTGAGATATAAAGTTTCCTCTAAATGTCACTAATTAACTTTTCAATACATTAAAGGAAATTGATTCCTGGAATTTGATTTACAAACTTGAAAAACCATGGTATGATTCAGTTCTGATACTAGTTTGTGTGCTGATTAAAAGTCTTCCTTTCAAATGATAATAACCAAAATCAAATTTTCCATTTTTTTTTACTATTCTTTCCTGCTTTCCCTTGAGTGTCTCAATAAAAATACATCCTGGTTTATTCCATAATGTATGATCTAGCAATCTGTGGTTATAGAGATTCTTCTTTAACATGGTCAAGACTGGGGAGGAGGGAATGCTCAAGCTCATTGCCCATTCCCTGTCCTCCAAAACGTCATTGAGAGGATTGGAAATGCAGCATATGAATGCATCCTGTTATTAAATCTGGTATTGTATCAGTGATATTCACACAGATGCAACATGATCTCTTGAATCATCTGTTTCTACTTACCATGCACAGCAATATCCTTTGTATCCTGGATAAGGATGCTGCCAGCTGAGACTTGCACCGTGACAGTATTCATTCCTTCAGTAGTAAAAGTATAAGAGATGCTGCTGTCCAAGGTGATGAATGGCTGTAAAAGTATTTAATGACAATGTCAGATTTGTTGAATATGAAACAGTCAGAATGTTCATGAGTCTCACATACGAATCTGGGCGTGAGAACACCAATATATGAAGTTAAGACAAGTTTCTAGATGTGGTCAAATGTAATGTTTACATTATATGAGAACAAGAAAATAGTGCCTGAGTGGGTAGTTCATTTTTGATTTTTGCAGAAAGAAATGGTCTATACAAAAAGAGTAACGCTAATCCAGTCTGGATCTCAGATTTTAGAGGTAACAAGCCCAGGTGCCATTCTTCTGTTCTCTGAGTGTTCTGTTGTTATGAGAAGGATGCCAAGCCAGAACAGGGAGATACAAGTCTTGCGTTTTCCATATCTTCTCACCATCTAAATTTATGTTTCTAATCTGAAAAACATGCAGGGCAACATGCAGGGCCTGGTGACAAGTAGAAAGGCTGCCTTTCCTGTAGTGGTATCACTTTCTGGACTTTCCTCCCTGCAAAAATGCAGTATGTTCTGATCCAATTCTCAGCCATTTTTGTTCACTTTGGCTAATGATCTGCACTGCTGTGACTGGATTTTTAATTTGTTTTTATTTGCTGATGACCACTGGTTATGTTTTCGTATGTTATATATTTTTACATTATGGTTTTAATGTTGCACACCACTGGATATGTTTTACAGAACAGGTGGTATAGAAATATTTTAAAATAGCATAAAATATCACCTTTCCAGATATTGCTTGTAAGGCATAAACCTATTCAAGAATCAGCTTCTAGGATCTGGCTCACTAGCCTGTGATACCTAGGAAGTTAGTTCACCGTTCCAAGTTTCACTTGCCTTCTATCCTTGAGTCCTGACTAGGGGTGTAGAGAAATCTGCACTGAATGGAAATGAGTGCAGTCTGACCTGCTTATTCTGCAGTGGACTGGCTTTTTATATGCTTTTTAAAAAAGAACCTTTGGGAAATTTATACAAATTTGCACTTGTGCTAATGTATATTGTAAGTAAGACAACTTTACAAAAGCGGAACATGTTTTTTATACATTCCTAAAAGTATCCTTTTCTTTCAACAGACAAATGAAGGAATGAATGGTGCCTGACAATCAACAAAACACAAATGGAAAAGATAGAACAAAATCCATACATTTTTAGTCCTTACACATCTTTTGGGGGATCAAATTATCACTTATGCTCAAATTTCACACAACCTTTGCTTCCGCAACCAACTTTGTTGAGTTACTGTACAGCTTTCCAAGCCAAGAGAGACAGCAAGAGCCAATTTTGTTTTTAAAAATTGCCCACACTCCAGTTTATGGTGGATGTCCTATTATCATGGCTGATTTCACCTCCATCATAGTGTTTTAACATTCAGGTAGTTCCTTAAATTTAATTCAAGCACGGAGGTCTGGAAACTAACTCGAAATTAAATCAAGGAGTTTAAGGTTCATTTGCTCAAAACCTATTAGACAGCCAGACACATTTATTAAACTGGACCTGTGCTAATCCGAGCAAATTGGCCTTTTGGTATATTGCTAAGGCAGTGGACCAGCATATCACTACAATTGCTCTATCCAGAAAAAGAAATTAGAGCCTTGTCTAGGATGGCTATAAAATGGTCTTGTATACTACAGTGGTACCCTTCAAGCTAATTTGAAGATGTAGTAAAGATGTGAGTCTACAACTAGTGTAAAATGCCATTGCTGTCTGCATTGCACCTCTCATGGTGTTCAAATACATCAAGAATTGGCTGAATCACATATGTCAGAATCTGTTTCTACTGCAGTGTCTTCATTTAACAACATTTTAACTGGTAATGCAATGACACAATGACACATTGGTCTGCTTCTTCCCATCACGTGGCCAGTTTGATTTTTAAAAATATTATTATTAGTGTGAAAATTCTGTTTAAGGGGCATTTTTCATCATGTGTTGAAAAATCCAGCTCTCTGTACAACAAAGCAATTAGAATTCCTGCTCACCACATGGCAAGCTACAGTGTGACTGATTCATGCTGTTTGGCAATAGTTGCTTTTCCGATGTTTGGGTGGACACTTTATATAAGGCTGAATTTGGTGGGATAGACCCCACATTGCCCCAAGATAATAAGGTGGTTTGTGAGATATGAGATCACTTCTTACCATGTGCAGAGCAACCTTAACAACCCATAGCTAAATTGCCTTTTTCTGTAAAAAACAGAAACACAACACTTTGCCAATACTAATGGAAAAGCTGACAAAGTCAACAGGGTCCTCAGGCATATTTTAAAGCTGTAACCGCAGCAGTGTACATGGACTATTTCCATTGATTTATTCATTATTATTCTACTAGGAATAGCCTGAATTTTAAGAATGGGAAATGTTCACTAAGTTCAGAATTCCCAGGGTGATTTGTTCTGCACCACTATGTGTCTAGCTGTAATCAAATTCTGCAAAGTCCACAAAGTCTCTTTATTTTTAAATGAAAACATTGCAAAAGGTAAATGACAAGTTTATTTTGGATGTGTGTGTGTGTACACATGAGCGCATGCATGCTCATGTACACATGTGCTTGCTTACCCACAGGATTTGGAAAACCTTACTGCAGGACTTTAGATTTTGCGGCTACAGATTAGTAATGTGAAGAGTTCTGGGATTGCTGCCCAAGACTCAGGGCTCATGGTGCTCAGGAAAACAGTCCCGAGAGTCTTTTGCTCTCACAGTGTACATAAATAGAGGTCAGAGACTAATAGCAAGTCAGAACAGTGGAACCCTCAAGAGACAATAAAGGCAGAAAGGTCCTCAGAGAACAACAATTCCTCTGTAGCTTTTTTTAGCCATCCTTGTGAATCAGAAGACTTTATTAGAAAATCCTCAAACACACTGTCAGACTGGTAGCACTGCTTAGCATTCTCTTCTATCGTCCTATGATTATTGTTCTTTTGCAAAGCCAAATATTCTTACCAACTTTAAATTGCTCCCTATTCTGGTGTCATTTGGCTCTTGCTGTTTTAAAGAAGTTAAGTTTGCGATTGCACCCATGAATCAAAAGGCATAAATAAAATTTAAATTGTAGGTTAAAAAAAGTTACTGCAATCACTCTAATTTGCAGTTTCCAAGTGTAGAAAAGGAAATCTTCATGCGTATGAAAATATAATCCTGAAGAAATGCCTATTTTAGGTTTAAAAGAATCATTATAGGTAAGCTGAAAGGCTGAAACAAGAACCAAGATATCCAATATCCCATCTCCCCACATTATTTTATGAAGCCCTGACAATGCCACTTTAATTAAACGCATATTATCATGTGTTCTAGGAGATATGTATCAAGAAACACTGAAAACCACATGACTTGTGTGAACAGAAGACTTTTCTATGTTCCATTTTGCCTTCAGAACAGGTATTGTGGGATTTTTTCTTGGGCTATGTGATGATCTGATACTGGCAGGTATAATAGAGACTCAGAGATGTTACCTTAAATGAAGCTGTTGTTATGCATTAACAAATCAAAATGGCCTGAACAACAGAGTCTCTTAGCAATGTTGACTCAGTTTTACTTCCTGAACTATTGACATAAGGCCTTCAGACAGAGCAGCACTGTTCATCTGCAATTTATTTAAACCATCCAGATTATATAGTGCAGTAAGCCAGCAAAGTTTAGGATGTACCATAGCTTAATGGTAGAAGAGACAATTTGCATGAAGAAGGTTCCAGGTTCAGTTCCTGACATCTTGGGCTGGGGGTGGGAAAGCCTGATATCTAAACCTCTACGTAGCAGTTGCCAGTTACTATAGTCAGTATTGAATTAAACACATGTAGCTCAAGTCAGACTTTCTGGCGTGAGGAAATACTTTGCACATTGACTTATCTGGCAAAAGTGCCCACCACTCTTTGAAACCCTCCACATTTCAGTTTATTTCAGACTTGTTTTGGCTCAAATCCATTCCACATGGATTACTGGCTAGGTTTATGGAGCACCACTCTTAGCCAACATCAGAAAATGTCATGGGATGCCAATCAGAAAATGTCATGGGATGCTTCCAACAATGCAGTGGCTGTTCATTGCACAGCAAGATCAGTGGGTAGAAAACACAATGCCTATCATGACAGGAGTTTTTAATGATGTTTATTCAGGAGTCCTGGTTTTGCATCTGAGGAACTAACACACAGTCTGAAAACTTATTCTTTCTGGTGTTTGAAGCAAGACATGGAATCTTGAATGGACTGGATAATCTTACCCAAGAAAATATTCTTTCTTGCTGCTATCACCTATGGGGGAGAATATTTAAATCAAACCATCAATGGAACATTTGTTCAACATTTAGAAATCTTAGTATCAGAAGAACTTTGGTTGGCAAGGGCTTATACAATGGGTGACTGGTTGTTACTGAGCATTCAGCCACAGTTTTGCATGAATTTTACTGACATGTCCCCAGAGGCAGGAACAAACAGCATGGACAGACAGGAAGAAAGCTGCTTCTGAGCTTAGCTTGAATTCACAGATGCCAGAAGTTATTTGGTCCCCAGTGGATTTAGAATATTGTGTCAGATTCTAAAATTCTAAGTACTTTCTGACACTCGTATTGGAAGCAGTGCTTATTTGATCACCAGCCGTTTTAAATGCTGAGCAGAAAGCCCAGCATTATCCAGTAGATACGGTGGTGTATAATTTTGAATTCTGGGAATAACAATGGCTCCTAAACACAATGTTCCAATAATAACCAACTGCACATTGTAGGCACTCCTGAAAACAACAACAAGGGAGGGATGAAAAGGAACAGGGAGGGGGAAAGAGAGAGAGACAAAAAAGGCTTAGAGTTTAGAAAATGAAGAAGTGCTTTTTTGACAGCAAAGGAAAATATATCGCTCAATGTGGAGCTCTCCATTTAAAGTCAAAATGCCATATGATCCAAAGGTTAATCCTTTCAAAGAAAATAAAGATTATATATTTAAAGGCTCAAACCTTTGAGCTGTTTCCAAACCACCAGAAGTAAGTGAGGGTACCCGACTGACTAGGCCAAACCACAGCAGTGAGATTTACTTCTTTATTCCTGATGGCCACAAAGGGGATGCTCAAGTGGACACGTTCCACTGGACCTGTGGAAACACAACTCATTGGTATATTTTCCAGTCTTTCTTTATCCATATTTTATGTGGTTAAAAGACAGATTCTTATACTTTTTAACTGAATACCTTGTATCAACAGAAATAAAGCCATGAGGAATGCAAACAAAGCTGCCCATTAAGTGTTGACTAAACCCATGAAATTACCATTTGGTCTCTCCCCGACCCTCCTTTTATTAAGAGCTCACTGGCTGAGGAATGCTAGGAATTGTACATCTTCTTTCTGTCAGAACATCATAGGATTGTGCTGTAAATTAAATTTACTTCCAGCATTGCTAGCCCTTCATACTATGGTTAAAGCTCACATTATAACAGCTAACCTGTCACTCTGTGCCCCACAGTTATGATCTGCGCTGGCAGTTTCACATTCCATGGAAAAACAGTTGTCATCACCAACCTGCAACAGAATGACTGCTACTCGTTGTCTTGAAATGCCTATCAATGACTGGTGACCCACTTTTCAGAGCCCTTGTGGCTCTTCTATCTTAGAAATCAAGAAGCAAAATCTATGACTGATACTCATTGTACATGTTCTACCAGATGCAGACATATGAGTGCAAATACAACTCCCCAGTCAACTGTGGAAACCGTGTGCATGTAATATTCAAAAAGTCTTGGATGTAGGAGTCCATTGCTTCCCAGCTGGTGCATCTGTGCTATACTTTAAAGGAAGTGTGATGCTGTGTTTGTCTATGGTGCATGTGAACTGATATTGTAAAAGAATTGATGGATTCATTAGTTTCTCTTTCTCCTACAGCTCAGTGTTTTTAGTTCTCAAAGCTCTTTCTATGAAAAAGTTTGCAATCTTTGCTAAGTTCTTGTCAAAAACAAAGTAACAACGTTTTCATGTACCTGAACTTGTTAAACACAATAGGCACATTTCTTTCTAGCATGAAGAGGCCAATGCTTTTATCTGTCTGTCATGTAGACAGAATGTCACCAGGAAAAAGCAACAGAACCCCAGTTCAGCAGCATGAACATGAATGAATACACTGGGATTTAAACAATTATTTTTAAGTAATCCACTGCCTATGCTTTGATGGATTAATAGGCCAGTTGTGAGTCTCTCATACTAACTTTTTCAGTAGCTAGTACTTTCCATCCAGTATATGGAGAAATTTGTGACTTTTGGTAAGTTCTTATATGAAAATGAACCTAGCAACATTTTTGCTCATCCCAGCTTAGGTACCCATGCAAAAAAAAAAGCACCTGAAATACTCTGAGCAACTACCTACATAATTGACTGTTGGGCCTGCACTTATGTACTTGTCAATATTATAGCTGTTCAATATTGTATCTGACAAGAAGTTCTCCTTCTAGAATATGATACAAAAATGGTCATACATATTCTGAAAATATGCTGGCAGGCAAAAGTGTTTGACTTGTAGGTAAGCAACTCACTCTAGTGCCCTCAGAGCAATGCAGCAGATGGCTAGTTAAGATTTCATATCAAGAAATTAAGCATTTCATCTGTCACCAATAGGGGACAAAAGAGGGAGAGAAAGTGATGAAAACAGATGGACAAATTTGAAGTTTTTAACTGAAACTTTAGCTTTCTTCCATCTGCTTCTTTCCACACCCCCTCCCCACACATATTGTTTTTGTTAGCATGCATGTATGGAACTGAATTTTAATTTGTCATTGTTGTGCAGCTGGCATGTTTAGAATAACTGATAGTTTCTTTTGGTTGCTCAGATATTACAGTCAGGTAAACTATTCTAATTGCAAGCAGGTGGGCTATCTCACAGTTAATCAATACATTCTTCTTCTCTGAGTTAGTTCTACTAGAGCATTCTGCATCTATAAAGGTGACTTTCTGAGATGATCCATCAATTCATGCACATTAAAGCATCTATCACGATACACGAACTGATGTGAGAATACAACAAGACCTCCACATTTCTGAGAGGTCTTGTTCAAGATGACCTCAACGGACATCTCATTGCCATTGTTACCAGCTGTTATTGTTCTTCAGTGCTACTACTTGAAGGCTTGAACAAGGTAAATCATGAATATGATTGTAGCTTCCTAACTGTAGTACTAATTATAAAACCTTTCTTATCTAATTTAAAGAGTTATTCACAAAAGGTATTTTATTCAAGCCATCAGTTTCATTTGGGGGGGTTAATTATATCAATTAGTCTGGCATAGAATCCACACAGTATTTTTCTCATTATGTTTGATTATTTTCCCTTTAATATTTATTCAAAAGCCTTGTACGCTATGGATGTTAAATAGATCTGCTATTATCTCTTTTGGTACTATTATCTGAAAACATGAATATTATATCTCTTCCCCACTTTTCAGGTAGAATGAGTTAATTTCTTTAAAAAGTTTTCAGGCAAGATTATATAATGCTACTGGGAAATTATATGAACTCCCTGCATTTAAGCACACAAATTAACGTATCACCAAAAAGTAAAAGGAAAAAAGGACCTATTTTTCATTTCAGCAAATGGACAATTATGTGGCAGTACAAACTGAAGGTGTTGATTGGTATATGGATGGGAACCACAGCAAGGAAGGGGGGTTAAAAGGCCCTACCAGTAAACTACTGCACTGATGCAGTTCAGGCTCCTGCATCTATTGAGGAGGGGAGAGGAGGGGCTAGTGCTAGCCACATTTGGCCTGCCAACCTTCAATACAAGGAAATTGCCAGATTACTTATTAATGCCTTACTCCATAGCTGTTTAATTCTTTTCCCTTCCTTCCACCACACACATCACAACCATCAAAATAAATTAGTAGCTAATGTGTATCGTAGCTTGCTGACCTGCTTCAGGCATAACTAAAATGTACAGACAACAGGATATTTAGAACACACAGTTGCAATCTGAAACTTCAAATGGAGATGGGAATTACTTATGGTTATCACAGACAATCTGCACCAAAAGAACCAGAATGTGCCAAGAAGTGATGGTTGATGCAGAATTATTATAATAAGCAGAGAGTATATCACTGCAATCCACCACACAAGGTCATAAATACACAGGCTTCTGCTCGTGCATCCCCATTTCTGGAAATATAACACACGTGGTTCCTAAGACCAAAAACCAACTACTAGTACCTGTGGCTGTAAACATTCAGTGAGTTGTCTCATTCATATTAACAGTGAGTGTGCTGATCACCCAGTTATGATGAGGAGGATTGTGGGTGGTAATGATGTTTTTAGTCTTTCTACTTCTTTCCCTGATCAAATATTAGTTCAATTGCCAGTGGTGTAGTGGTTGGTTCTGATGTACTAATATATTCCTTAACACAATCTTCACAAGCACACTCCCCAAAAGAGTCCCAAAATTTGACAGCCGGTTAATCCATATCAACAAACCAGTTCTAGAGGTTTTCATCTCCACCAGAAGCAGTTCCTTTGTAAAAGTGAAGGTGTTAGTTGCTGATTGAAGCTATGCTGAAATTAGTATGAGCTAACACTGGGAACAATATATTGTTGCTGAGAGACTTAATCTTTGCCCAGGCAAGTGCAAGCATTGACGCTAATATCAGAGGAATCAAGGAATTCTGAGAAGGGAGGCAGCAGATTCTGTCCTCAACTCTGCTAATCAAAAAGTACCAGTGCTGCATCCTTCTGAATCTTGACTCCACTACACTGCTAGTTACTGCCACCCACCCATGAAGCAAGCTAAGGCATCCGTATCAGGTGACAGAACAGGAGGAGCGGCAAATAGTGTCACGCTCCTCTGCCCTGCCATCCCACCGAGAAAGCTCATCATCACAGGCTCCGATAGAATTTGCTGCAGCAGGAGATTAGGCCGAAGTGTTCTGTAGCACAGCCTGCTCTCCTGTCCTTCCTTTGTTGCATGTAGCCAGAAGTATCGGCCACCACGCTATTGTGAGAGATTGGAGGTCACTACTGGTTGCATATAAAGATAGAACTTGGCCAATATAGTTTGCATATCAATTTACAAAAAGCTAACAGTCCTGGAGTGATTTCACAGCGGGGTTCCTGAATGGAAGGTTAGGGAAGAGACCGTACAGCACGATGCATTCAGAGCACTGCTACCTTTCTTGTCTTCTACAACTCTATAAATCTATAAAAAACATTGTAGTACGTTCAGGGTAGTGCATTCAATATATGTCTTATGCATAAAACTGCAATGATTCTAAACCGTTTACAAAAACATCACAAGCTACCAATGACACAAAAGACAAGTTGGCACAGTGTGGTGCTAGATGGTACACATAGCAAAAAAGGTCACGGGAGGACAAAATCAAGTAGCAGCATTTGTCTGGAGCAGGGGGTTTTTTCCATGCCAAAAAATAACCCAGTTTTACATTTTTGTCAAAAAATGTTTCCTTTGAACAATGTACGCATTTTTCAGTGAGCTTAAATAATGCCCATATTTTTGCCTAAAACTCTCAGAAATAATGTTATTTCAGGAAGGAAAAAAAAAATCAAAGTAGGTTTACAGTTACATTTAAATTTGACATAGTGGAGAAGCTTTTTCAATAATGTAAAATGGGGAACAAATTAGACAACTGAGATTTTAAAAAATGTTTTCAGAAATCCCTTCATTTAGAATTAATAGCATTTCCAATAGATTCAAAAGAAAGACATTTGATGCTTTCCTATTTATGTAAATGATTTCTACATAAGGTACATTCTACATTCAGTGTTTCTTATTTAAACTTAGTTTATGCCTGTGATTTAGTACCATATTCCATGCTAGGCATATATGTATTACTAGGGGCTAGATCTATCTAGTACATGGGTTGATTCAGCTTGCACAATGAAACTTCCACTCATATGACAGGATATTTCTAACCTGTCATCTATCCTGTGATCCCACCAAATATACTCTGGAGTTTTCTGTAATCCTGAAGGATGTATGGGGTGGGGCAGGGTGTCTCTCAGGAGGGCAAAATCAGTTCCACCAGTAGTTCTCCACCCAGTGGTAAAATAACCAACAAAGGTGCAGCAAAGCTATACTAATTCCCCTACCCTTGAGTCCCTGTCAAAGAACAGTTTTTCTGCAATGATAATACCAATAATAACATTAAAATATCAGCCCACAACCTGTTTGGTGTCTAGAATTCTAAAATCAAGCTAAAAGCTGTTAATATTCCAGTGTAGTGTCAGAAGTGATTTGTCGTTGATCTTCTTTTACAAAGCAGACAAAGGACTGAATTGAAAGTGAAGTCCATTGGATAGGACTCCTTTATGTAAGTTAAAGGGGAAACATTGGCTCTAGCACTGATTAGTTTCACTGAGGTCCAACAGAACCAAATGTGAAGTTATTCATGACATTGTAATCCTAAAACCATGGATCTGGGAATAAGTTTACTAAACTCATTGGTACAGGGCAGTGATAACCCCCCCAACTGGTGTTTCAATGGAAAGTTCCGGTAACTTACACAACATCCTCCTGATTATCTCTTTGTGTGAAGATTTGATCTTTGTGTGTAAAATGAGGGCATGAAGGACATTTATTATGGATGAATGAGAGTGATGAAGCATGCTTTACACTGAGAAATGAGGAAGAGAACAATCTTGTAGGCCCTGGGGAAGGGCACAGAATAGTTCAAATTCTCCATGGCAGAGACAGGACTCTGACTTTCATGCTGGAAATCAATGTTTCATTGCCTCCCCCTCCTCTGTCCCTTGCAGGAAGCTTGGGAAAAGCTGCTCTCCAGGAAAGTGGTCTCAGAGAAGGAAGAAAGGAAGTGTTTGCAGGGGCATGGAGGGGACTGTGTCATCATGGTGCTAATCCAGTGTCCTCTTCTTTCCCTTTCTGAGGTGGGAAAGGGAAAGCCCAAACTGGTCTTCTAGTGGAAATGCAGATTGGAGGAGCAGGGGGAGAAAGAATACCACTGCTGCTTCTCGTACTCTGCCTCAGATGAGCATGAGCCTCTGAACTGGAGATTCCCACTCATTGCAACTGTACCGCATTCAAATTGTAGTATGAAAAACAGGCAACGGGGACAGTCTTTCAGAACTATATGCTATATTCATGTACTCAAGCTTAAGGACTTTTCAGAACTCACTGTAGGCATCTACTTACAGACCACATGCAGGAAAAGTGCTGCCAGATCAGAGCCAAGGTTGTTTTCGGCATAGGCTGTCACCTGGAAAATCCCAGTGCTCTTATAAATGTGTCGGATACCATCCTCTATCGGGCTGAAATTAGCATAGGACACAGCAGTACCATCTCCAAAATCTAGCTGAATATTTGTCCTCTGGAGATCACCCTGCAAGAGCAAACACACTTGTTTAGAAATGTAGCTGATAAGGGTGATTTATGTTTTACCCTGCATTGCTATTCAGTATAGGCACAGTAGCATGAATGTGGCTTCAGTGGCTTTGCTACCCTGCAGTGCAATAAGCTACAATTTAATATTCATTGCAATTTTTACTAAAAGTCAAGGGGAAGAGGAGGAGAAGTAAGAAGAGCAAACTAGCTGACTTGGTGAATATTAGGGGTCCGTCCTGTTTAAGTTTTCCTCACATTTTCCCTAGTCAATAGGCCAGTGATTCAGTCCAGGATTTGGAGAGAGATTTCCAAACAAGTGAAGCTTTATTCATACAGAAGAATTATATGGAATCTAACTTTGGTCTATAGGTCAAAGCTATCACTTTTTTGTCCTCCCATGGAGCCACTGAAAATCAGAAGTCAGAATCTATTTCAGACCCAGGAACACACTGGGTCTGGGCAAGCACACTGGCAGATCACATACCAGCAGGGGGCAGGAATACAGCCCTCCTGATATATTGTCCCAATTGCTTGTTTATTTAAAATGCAGGGTGTCCTAAAAAAATTGACATCATTTCGTAGTCTAATAGCATAGCCAATTCTCGCTCAAATAATCTCAAATTTAAAAAAAAAAAATGTGTAAAAACTAACTAATGTTAGTTACGCAATGTTACGCAAGACATGCTACAGCATGTTTTGCAGGAGGTGGACTACCGACTTGACATGTGTCGTGTCACAGGCGGTGCACATATTGAACATTTGTGAAGCTTTGTGAAATCGGTTATAAAATCCACATCCCTTTGAACCTCTTGCTTGAATTTTGTAAAATAAATCTTTTATTGTTCAACATGAAGCCTATTTAATTTTGTTTGTATAGGACATGTAGTTACTCAGATATTCACATTTCAAATAATGTCAATTTTTTGGGGACACCCTGTATTTTAGGCTATGATTAATGGTCAAATCCTCTTAAAATGGTGAGCCTTTATTTTTTTAAAATAAAGTCTTCAATAGCATCAATAGATGTGTTTTTAGAGCCTAAATGCAGTGCAAGAGAGAAGCAGAGATCAGAAATTGGAAATAAGTTTTTAGTCAGGAATCTGGAGGATTACTTACTAAAGCAATGCTTGGAAATTACTAAAATACCCCACTTACAATCCTGAACACAAACATGAAGGGAAAAGGTTTTTTTTATCATAAATCTGCAAACTTGTATTCATGTCTGCAAAATGTGAATTTGAAAAATGCACAACTTTTTCAAAAACCCATTTTTTTTAAAATGGAAATTTTCTCAAAATGCATGCATGCTTTTTAAAATTATCCATGCTTAAGTCTATGAGGAAAATACAGGCAAATTCAGCAATTGCTCTGGTTTCACACTAGATGGCTGCTTATTTTGCACAATTTTTCAGTTCATGCAAATTGAAAAGTAGTTACAAATGGAAGTGCTAATCAAGAAGAGATGAGTTTGAACACTGCTTGTTAAGCCACCTCTAATTTTTGGCTGCTGATTAGAGATAAGAAATTTTAGCCTTGGCACAGAGGAGATGGTTTGGATTGAAACATACCTTTCCTCCATCTGTATTTTTAATAGCAACAACAATACTGATAATTCCCTTTCAGTGACATCTATCCTATGGTATTTGCTCCCAGTAAATATGTGGCTACCCCACTTTATGGTTGCCTTAAGGCCCGTTTTTAAAACTCATACATTTAATAGCATTCACTGCAGATGAGCATTTGAAAATAAGATTATATATAAATGGCTTTCTGCAAAACTATTTATATGTGATATAAGTTCAAATGAGTGTTTGTTGAATGGCATTTTATACTGTTATCCATAGTACTACACTCCCAAACTAACCCCTCCACCTCTCAGTTCACCTTACATCTCAAGGGAGAGCAACTCCAGGAACTGAAATTTAATGTGTAGCCTGGGACAGAGCAAGTACTAGCTAACTCCCCTGTGAGTTCAGTTTGATTCTCTCTTACTTTCCTTGGCTCAAATGTATAGTATGAAAATGCAGTTTCTAGCATGTAGGGGAAATATCTTTGGTTTGTCAGATGCCTACAGTCAAAACCCCAGGTTCCAAACTGAGAAACTTCATTTAAGAATAGGGATAGAAATGATTAAAGGCTTAGTGATATTGTTAACAAATATTAACAGTATTAAAGACCTGGAAGTAAAGTTAATAATCAGAGATTAAAAATTAAATTGCTGCTGGAAGGGAAAGGTCTTCTTAAACCAACAATGTTAAACAAGAGTTAAATGAATACATGACGCTCCTCTTCATTCAGATTCTGAGTTATAGTCCTCTTCTAAAGTATGAGCACAGCAACAGCAGCAGGGATGTCTTCATGTTGATAAAATAAATGCAGAGGCAGGCATGTCTCTTCAAATCAGACGCAGGGACAGTCAAGTAGTGAGTATTAGAACAAAGGTTCCATTTTTACTTGGAGAGGAAAATGGACTTTGGGTTCATAAGGCCTCTACTTCATTAATTCACCACTCAGGATGCTAATATTCCAGACATAATTTTCTACCCACCCCCATCACTGCTTGTTTGGTGTTTTGAAGAACAGCATTCTCATATCTGAACAGCACCAGATCCTCTTTCCATTCTCTTATTAGCTTGCTCCGCATTGCAGAGATCTGCTAATCCTCTTCCTTTAACTATGTTTCCAGTAAATAAAATAGTGAAAGGTGTATCATCTGCCACACATGCAATGTCAGCTATCCCCCCTAGTTTATGAATATAAATTAAAGTGGAAATGAAGTAGAGGCATTTCAAACAGATAACAATCACTGTTCTCTGGATATATTCAAGAGGTGCTTTTTATAGCTCAAGTCCTGTAAACTATCAAATGGAAATGTGATAATGGTTTGCCATAAAGCTCACAGGTCTGTAAACTGAGTGTAGCTGACAGCAGTTGAACAATTGGTGAAAAAGTTCAGATACTTATAAGGGACCTTGGAAAGAAATAGGAATTGCAACCCAGCTGAACAATGTATGGCTATTTCGAAACATATTTGTGGAGAACCAATTCATATCAAGAGTCATTCTGTTTATGGGCCAGTTCTTTTAATAATTCAGAATGACGTTTCTAAAATAGTTGCTTAGTTATAATCCAAATATGCAACTCCAGACATTGAAAACACAAGGAGTTCTGCTGTCTGATTAGAGAAGTGTTATACCAATATACTAAATAGAAGGTTCCAAACGTAACAAAACATATTTTACAGCAATTCTTCATTTAAACATCTGAGAGATTAGTCAATAAATATTTTATTTCCAACAACACCCAAGCTTTATTGGGCCAAGGTGAATCACCTGGCATGGTCTCTTGCAGTTTTATTAGTATGGAAAGAGCAATGGTAATAGCTTGTGAGCATACCTGGCCAATTGGCTATTCTCTTCCCTCACTCCCAACTGGGTATCCAACTCCTACTGTCCCAGTTACAGTATTTCAGCAGGCACATGGCCCAACTCCAGATGCATAGACCTTTTTGTCATGCGTAGGACAAGGGTGACATTGGAACTAATGGCTAGCATTAGTGCAACATGATTGTCATGACTGATTCACTTGATCCAAATTATTTGCAATTGGGATAGAAGAGAAGCCACCACTGGTGTTGATAGCAGTGTTGTTCTTGGGGTAAATCAGAAATTTTGTGAGGGAGGGTATTCTGGCAATGACATTCTCACTGAGTCAAGAAGACTGCATTGTTGTTGTTGTGAAGTCAGGTCCGACCCATCACGACCCCATGGACAACATTCCTCCAGGCCTTCCTGTCCTCCACCATCCCCAGGAATCCACCTAAGCTCACACCGACTGCTTCAATGACTCCATCTAGCCACCTCATTCTCTGAAGACTGCATTAGGAAAGCTAATAATGAATCCCCCAAACACCCTTGTCTATGGGATCATGGCATTCCTGTAGGATGCTTGGCTATACTATTGTCAGCATTGGCACTAACACATGTCACTGCCTGATTTTATATGAATTCACCAGATCCAAAAACTGCACTTTGTTATGGAGGAAAAGTTCCACACAGCTCCTGAGGCAAATAGCAGCTTCAGGGGGAAAGGCTGAAACTGTGGCATAGAAGGAAGGGGCCCCTGGGTGTTGCATTCCCAACCTTGATTGCCCTTCTACCCCCATGGGTCCTCTGCTAGAAGGAAAAAACAGACACACCACTGGAAACCACACATTTGATGTAAGATGTAGTTTGTAGCTTTAAAGTGGAAACTGACAGCTGCCATGGTCATTGGGGTAGAATTCACTGCTGGCTTAAAATCAATAGTAATCCACTATACTCAGCAGAGCTTTGTTGTATCTCAGCTCCAACAATCACTGAGTTTGCTCTTATGAAACATTAAAAATCCTATTTCCAACAAATAAGCAAGAGAGGCACTACAGGTGCAATGTGATCAGTTTGGCACACAGAAGAACTCTGGGAGGCATAAAACTGAAGAAGTTTGCAGAAGATAAGCAAAGACATTAATATTGTGGTGATGGTTGTTCCTGCTACAACATCCTGCAGTGGAAGTGCAGGTCACAGAAGCCAGTAATCCTGCCCCCAATTTCAAAACCTTAATCCTTTAGAGCTTTTTTCCCTATCAAACTTCTCTATCCCTCAGCTTTCTAGTCAAGAAGCTGCCTCTTCAATTTACCTCACCTGCTATATTATTGCCTTTTGTGTATCATTCTCTCCATGAGGAAGTTCTGCTCAAGTTCTTTAATAAATAGCTGCTTGCTTCCTAATATTTAGATTGTGCTGTTCTTTAAAAGGCCAGGCACAGGCATTTATACAAGGTCTTCCATTGTATCAAGCAGGATACAAGCAGGATCGAACAAGAGTAAAATGAAATGTGCTACCTACACATTTCATGGGGATACTGCTGAAATTTCCTTCTTCTGAATTTCTTGTTGTAGTTTGAACTAATAATATTTCATTTCTAAAATAGAGTGTGTGCCCCCAGAATTTTGTGCTG